TTACTCAATCGATGTAAATAAATTATTGACACATTAAAAAATAGCAAAGTAATAATAATAATAGTTATAAAATGCATTTATTGCCGTGATGACGAGGCATATACATGACATTATATCAGATTGTATTTAAAGCTCGGTTTTAAAATATGCCGGTTTAAAAATATTTCAAATATTTTATAATCATTGTAATAAATGAGACCCTCCTATTAAATACCGTTGTTCAAATAATGTTTTTGCAATGCTTTTCGTACCCACCCTGTATCGTTCCCACCCTCTATCATCGTTATTATGGAAAGGCTTAAATACCTGTTTACAGGAGGCAGCACCACTGCTTATAATTACTTTTCCTACGAAAATGATAGTTTGTAAAACAAAATTTTCTCTAAAGGTACTTCTGGAAAGAAAATAATTTTCTTCTTCTTTTCTATAGTGTTATTTTCGGTTTCAAATACGACAATGTGAATTTTTGAGGTTATGTTTATGTTAGTGTTTACAATACACCTTTTTGTAGGTGTCTATTAGTTTGAAAATATTTAAAGTTTATTGTGATTTGTGTTCAAATACATACTACTGTCTACAAGATAATTCAAACTTTAAAATTAAGTGTTAAAAGAAAGTGAAGGAAAACTTATGGCTATTGTGATTATACTAAAGCTAACAGGTAAGTTTAAAGTTTAAAAATTTGAAAAATTACATTAAGTAGGCTGTGGTATTACTTGTCAAACACACGTAGTCATTTTGTAAAATCTTATTTTATTGTAAAATTGTACTGCAAAAAAAATGAATTCTAGTGATTCCGAATGTACGCCTCCTGAAATAGCAGAAGCTGCTAAAAACACGTCGCTCAAATTGTTGCCTGCTAAATCCAGAGTAAGGTATCAATATGCTTATAATCAATTCATTAAATGGAGACAAAGGAAACAAATAAAGATTTCGTTTTCTGAAAATGTTCTACTGGTCTATATGAATGAATTATCATCAAAAGTACAAAGTTCGACTTTGTGGACACAGTACTCAATGTTGAGAACTACTCTGTCTATTGAACAATGTTGATATTTCTAAGTACCTAAAATTAAAGAAATTCTTAAAGAGAAAAAGTGATGGCTATAAACCAAAAAAAGTAAAAAGTCCTGTCGCAACAAGAAATAGATAATTTCATAGAGACAGCTCCAGATGAATTATATTTATTTACAAAGGTGAGAAGTTTAATATCTATTATTTTGTTCAATGTGTGAGTATTTTTTATTATTTAAGGTTGCACTTATCCTTGGAATATCAGGAGCATGCCGAAAGCACAGTTGACTATAAACAATATAGAGGATTTGGGTACAGCAGCTGTGATCAAAATAGATAACACAAAAACCAAGTATCCAGAAAATTCACGATTACTGGACCGTTTTATATATTTAAAAAATAGGACAATCTTAGGCCACCAACCACTCAACTAAGGTTTTCTTAATTATAAAAATAAAAAATAGACCCAACAAGTAGTGGGTATAAACAAAATAGGCACTGTGCCAAAGGCAGTGGCTACGTTTTTAAATCTTCCGAATCCAGAACAATATACTGGCCACACCTTTAGGCGTTCTTCTGCAACAATTTTGGTAAATGCATGAGCAGATCTTGCTGCATTAAAGCGCCACGGGGGATGGAAATCCTCTACCGTAGCCGAGCAGTACATAGATGACTCTGCAACTAATAGATTAATGACTGCTACGAGCCCCTTCCCATTTCAGTTGGCCCACCTATTAATATTTTCTTTATATAACGACAATAAGAAAGTATTAAAGATTACATGCTTTTTTAAATCATAAATTAATTAACAATGCAATAATTTAGAATTATATTAGAACTAGAACTAGAAAACATCAATTTTTTTATTTATTTTTAAATTTATTAACACATGGAGCATTATTGCATTATTTCAACTTGAATTCAATGCGTTAGAAAATAAACCAAAATCGAAGGTAGCTTTGAAAAAATAACAAACAATAATGCAAATAACTGTCACAAGACAATTTAACCTCTTTTAAGCTAATTCTGTCTAATAAAATGGGTAGAGGAAAAATCATTGACGAAAAAATACGTTTTCTTGTCATAAAACATTGCAATTCTGGAAAATCGAACTCGGAAATTGCAAATATATTAGATTTATCACGATATAGTGTAAGAAATATAGTTAGAAGATACAAAACTACTGGTTCAATCAGCCCAAAGCCCCGTCATGTTAGAAAAAGCAAGATTACAAATGCCGATAGACGAGCATTGAGAAGAATTATTGAAACTAACCGTTGTGCTAATTACCTTGAATTAAGTGCTCAGTGGAGTGATGCTGTTGGAAGACGAATTTCGAGATATTTATGACATAGAGAAGCTCGCAAATTAGGATTTAGGACTTACAAAGTAAGTTTATAATAATAAAAACAATAAAAAACATGGATTGAAGACACTAAAACAATCAAATATGTTTGCTTAAAATTGACAATTTTGTTACAGGTTAAAGAAAAACCACTACTAACTGCGAAACAGAAAAAAAATCGATTAAGATGGTCAAAAGAACATATGAGTTGGACTTCTCATCAATGGGATGCAATACAATGAAATGACGAGGCCCGATTCGAAGTTTGTGTTGGAGATAGCAGAAGTCGAGTTATTCGCATAAAACATGAAGCGTTCCATCCAGATTGTCTCAAAAGAAAAGTAAAATTTCCCGCATCGGTCATGGTCTGGGGCAGCATGTCATCTAAAGGAATAGGGAAATTGCATTTTATTGAAGGAATTGTAAATACAAATAAATATTTGGACATTTTGGAGGAATCACTTTTACCGACTATGGAATTATATTTGACATCAGGGAAAGATTTTGTATTTCAACAGGATGGAGCAGGGTGTCACACGTCAAAAAAAAGCTCTAAAATGGATGGAAGACTTCGGTGTTCCACTTTTGGAATGGGTTTCTAGTAGTCCTGATTTATCACCAATAGAAACATTGTGGCATGAGATGAAAAAGGTACTTCGATAACATCCTGCAAGAACAATACCTGAACTTAAACAAAAACTTCAAGATATATGGGATTCTTTTACACCAGAATTTTGCCAAGGCTTAGTTAATACCATGCCGCAAAGAATTTCAGCTGTAATAAAAAATAAAGGTGACGTTACTCAATGGTAAACTTTAAAATTGATTAACGTTTGATTCCAACTATTTGTTTATTTTTTTTTAATTTTATATTAAATAAATATTTTAATGTTTTCTACATATTTTTTATGATTAAACGATATTAAACATATTGTTCAATGAGTAAAAATTGGAAAGTTCATGCAATATTTATATTTTTAATCTTTAAATACGAATTTCCTAAATTTCAATAGGTGGGCCAACTGAAATGGGAAGGGGCTCGTAATTAAATAATGAACACCATTCGCAGCACAAGCACATTCAACGAAGAAGTTGCATGTAAAAACATTGAACAATACTCTGAACAAAATACTGAAACTACACAACCCAGATACAGTGCAAGTTTGTGTACTTCATCTATACAGCAACAAATTAATGTAGATCTACAAGAGACAATAAACACATATATTAGGGGAACCACTGAGAATAATAATAATGCAACATTACAAAATCCACTGCAATTTAATAAATGTTATAATAACAGTTTTACTTTTAACTTTTATAACGTCGCAGAAAAAAGTAAAACAAAATTATTAATAATTATTCAGTTCATACAGTTTAGTTACAAACATTTTCTAATTATTATATCAGTTATCTGTAGTTTAGTTACAAATATTTTTTATCCATTCCATTAGTTATCTCTACTTTAGATATAAATTTTTATAAACTATTCTGTTAGTATCTCTGCTTTAGTTATAAATGTTTCTTATTATTATATTAGTTCTTGTTTTGCTTTAGTTATAAATAGTTATAAACATTGTATTAGTTCTTGTCATTTCTACTGTTACAAAATGAAATGTTTACATGTGTGAATTGGTTTAATTGACTTTCTCATTTAAAAAAGACGCTTTTTTAAGGATTTTGTGTGTGGTCGTAGGAAAAATAGTGTACACAACTCGTTGGAAAGTGTATTTCTCGCACTCGTTTAGTTTCCGCACTCGCCACTACGCGGCTCGTGCTAAACTTCAACTCGTGCGAAGTGTTGCACTTTCCACACTTGTTATGTAATATACTATTTTCTACTATCGTGTGGAAATGTCCACTTTTCCGCACTCATTTTAGTGTTATAAGAGTCATTTTTCCGCACTAGTGTGGAAAAAACTTTTTTCCGCACTAGTAAATTTGTTGAGTTTTTGGGGAGTATACTGACATTTGAATATTTAAAATAGGTATATATTTGTATGGTTGTAGTTTACAAAATGACTGAAAAATTTATTAGAATTCTGCTATAATTTTGATTAAAAATTCCCCCTTGTTTTTATTTTTTTGATATCTCTATTTAATAAAAATATATAGCCATGCTAAATCCCACCCTGTATATTTGAATATTGGACACTCAATATTTATTACGTCAAATAAAAATCAACGTTGTTGCCGATAATAATGGACCATTTGAAAAAAATTGTCTTTTGTTTTACGTACACTCCAATAACATTTTTTGAGGTATTTTTGACTATAAGCACATATAGAAGGGAAATTAAAAAAATTGTTGGTCCTGACCAAAGTGACATGACTTTGTGGGGTTTTCTAGCGCTCTGATTATTTTAGTATTTTTGATTTTCTACCTTTTTCAGTAGCCATGTTTGTTTATTGTAACTTGAATTAAGTCTATTAATTAGATATATTTGTGTTGATTTCATTTGTGTTGTATTTATAGAAACATGTACCTAATTAGGCTGTTTGTTTCTGAAATAAATACATGTCAAGTGATAATAACATTCTGTGGAAGTGGCTAACGTACCTAGCCAACTTCAATTATGATTTTTTTTAATGACCTTTTACACATTTTACAAATTTTTTCGTATAGTATATAAGTACTGACCTGTCTTTGGAAGGCATCGGGCATGGTAAACGTACTCGAAATCCAACAGTACGTATTAACGACATTATTAGGCAGTCCATCGACTATACACTGTATGGGGTTCCCCACGAACTGATTCGCGGTGATAATTAAACTACAGGCACTTAAAAGGGCGCACGTAAAAATGTTGTGCAGGCGAAATATCGCACAATCAGTCACTATCTCTTGGTATTTGAAGTAATTGGCTAGTCCTCCTAACAGCTTATACATCGTTCGGCAGTAATTGTATTATTTGGAGGAATCTAAAACAAAATTAACATTTTATAGGTTATGATATTTTGGAATAAATTATCACTAGAGCTTAGATTATATGCAAAATGCATATAAAGTACATGCCTGCCTATTTAATGCAGAATTTTATATTGCATATCTAAAATAATAATGCATATCTTAAATAATAATGCATATCTAAAAATAAAATATTGCTTATTTATCATTATTTTGTAAACATTACAATATTTTTTAATTGTACCTGCATTTTACCACGAAATATTAACCAAGTGGGTATTTTGCTGTCTAAACTACTAGGTATTAAGGATTAGGACAATTAGGGGATGATTGATAGTAAATGGCTTCATAAAATTTATCTGTTTTTGTTTACAATAACAAGTCACTTATCCAGTAAACAACTTCCAAACCGATTGATTCAACAGTTAATAACAGAGCAAGGAATTACTTTAATTTCAGTTAATGTTTTAGACAAAACAAATAATTTAACGATAACCAGATTTATTAACAATTCGTTAACAAATTTTAAATAGGATGGCTAAGACGGTTAGGAATGATTTTCCACTCGTAAATGGTTTTGTAAAAGCTCCTCTTTGGGTTCAATATTATAAGGATCGTTTGCCAGGAATTCCATTGCCACCAGAACCAGTTTTAATACGATGGGGCACTTGGTTAAACTGTGTTACTTTTATTGCAACAAATTTTAACGAAATTAAAGATGTCATCTGCGACTTTGGCCCAAAAGACTCAATTGCAATTAAAAAATGCATCGATATTTTTAACGATCCTATAGTTTATAGCCATATTGTCCACATTCAAGAAAATTAAACATGCATAGCCACAGCCATAACTAAGCTTGAATCTCGAGGTATGGAATTATTTGAAAGCATACAAAAAGTTAAAAATTTCAAATCTTTTATTGAACAGTCCGAGTTAATGGAAAATAATGTTACACGAAAATTTACTTCAGTTTTACTAAATAATAAAGGATTTCAGACATTAAGGGGCATAAATATTGTTTAATCTCGCAACTTTAATAATGAATTGGATTCAAATATTTCACCACTTTTAATTTCAAAATTTAAATATGCACCTATAACGTCTTGTGACGTGGAACGTTAATTTTCGGCGTACACACATATTTTAAGTGATGATAGAAGGTAATGTTTCACTATTGAAAACATTGAAAAATATTTAATAACTTACTGTTTTCATTCTAATAATAATAATAAATTAGATTTAATTGATAGAAATGTAAAGTCATCTCATCATATGTTTAAAAAGTCTAGAATAAAATTTAAATATCAAGAATGACTGTCTTTTTATTTTGCATATTTGAACGCATATTTTGTCTATTGTTAACGCATAAATGCATACATATTTAGACCATTTTTAAGTGCATATTTTCCAAGCCCTAATCATCACAGCTTTCCTAGAAATAGTGAGAGTAGTTTTCACCTGTCATGTATTTTTGCTTACTACGACAAGCTGTCCTCGAATGGACCCCGCACAAATCTTATGGAAATTGGGTCCCGGTTAAATTCGCTGAATTTTTGATATGTGATAGAGTTCATCATACTGGTCAATTGTCTCAATGGCCACAAAGCTCAAAAATGGATAGTTTGACTGGTACAGAGCTTTAAAGCTCCGAGTATCCTCCACGGATTTATGTATATGCGCAGTGTGTATATACTTTTGAAATAGCCTATTTAATTTTTTTCATTATCTAGGTTTATATTTTTGAGGTTGCTAAATTCGGATCTATTGTTAGATTTTTAAAATTGACAGTTGGCAGCTGTCAAATAGCTGTCAATGTGCTATAATAAAGCCAAAAACTTGTTTTTTTTATGTTTTATCTTTCTTTTTTTTTTAATTCGATAAGTTCAAAGATGATATCAAATCAATAACAATAACTATCGGCAGCTGTCAACAATTTTTCAAAGTCCGGTAATAATGAAAAAAATTAAATAGGCTATTTCAAAAGTATATACACACTGCGCATATACATAAATCCGTGGAGGATACTCGGAGCTTTAAAGCTCTGTACCGGTCAAACTATCCATTTTTGAGATTTGTGGCCATTGAGACAATTGACCAGTATGATGAACTCTATCAGATGTCAAAAATTCAGTGAATTTGACCGGGACCCAATTTCCATAAGATTTGTGTGGGGTCGTTTATTCATAGACTCTGCAAATTGAATATCTGTCCCGAACAAGCTAGTAAACATTGAGAAACAAATTTTACAGGAAACATTTGCAAGACAACTAAACTCTTGCTGTTAGAATCTTGCTTTGGACGAGGTAATGAGCTCAAAATAATAAGGATTTTAAGGCAAATTGAACGATTGTACTATATTGTTGTTAAAAACCTTATTCCATTCATTATTTGCGGCAGATATTCAATTGTTGTAAATGGATTAATTCATTCCTATCTTAAGTTTAACGTTTCTATCTAAATTTTAATGTTTATCACTGTTTTTAGTGGCGATAAAACCGGACGTAAATTAGTCATTGTGTGTCTACTTAAGTTGGAACCATATTATTGGTTTTGTGAAAAAATGTATTCTTGATAAAAAGTTCTGCATGATCCAAAACTTAAAATGCAACCATCAGGTAAAGAACCTTTATTTTTTACAATGCAAAAGAATATTATAAAGAAAAGTTATTTTGAATTAAAAGTTATATTCAAATATGCAATTACAGTCATTTATCATCAAAATTAAGGTTAGGTGATTATTGACGTTTTAAATTATAAATTAATAGTGGTTATAAATTGATTAATCACCAAACCTAAATTTTAATACTAAATGGCTGTAACTGCATATTTGAATATAATTTTTAATTCAAAATAACTTTACTTTTATATCATTTTTCTGTATTCTAAAACATAACGGTACCTTAGTCTTGAGTAAAATTATAACTTTTTGACAAACAGCTTAAAAAATTGATATCTGAGGGTTGCATTTTAAGTTTTGGACCATGCAGGACTTTATATCTAGAATAAATTTTTTCACAAAACCAATAATAAAAAAGTTTTCCATATGGTTCCAACTTAAGTAGACACACTGTATATTTAGAAACTTCTAAATTGTAGATACATCTTACTATTTCTAGGAAAGATGCGATGATGCCTTTGTAAAGTCGAAAGTGCTTATTATAATTTTTTTCTACGCCCATGTCAGTAAACGTTAAAAATCGCACTGTCAACATTCCTTGTAAATGACATTTAAAAATAACATGCACGTAATGAGATCTCATAACATACACTTGCGTTTTGATAAGAAAACTTAAATTTCATAGTTTAATCGTTTTGGATTAAAAAAGTGATGTCCCTAAATTTCGGCAACACATTATACAATTTTTCAAAAAATAAGTAGCGTTTTCTTAGCCATGCTATGGAAATAAAAGTCTTGTCATTTATATTGTCAATTTTTGTAACAAAATATTATTGTATTCGAACATTTTCTCAACTTTACCTACGAATATATCGGTTAGTAGTGAAACTGATGAAATTATGAGCACTCCACAGGAGATTTTAGAAAAAACTCAAGCTGCCACACGTAATTTATTAACGCTAAAATCCAAAAAAAGGTACGAAATTACCTATCGAAAATTTATAGATTAGCGACACAAGCATAATATGTCCTTTATTTAATACAAGAAAATAAGTGGGCGTAAAAAAGTATAGTACGTTACACGAGTTGTAAGCCAAAAATAATGTTCTAAATAGTCTCGATTAAAACTCAAAATAAAAGCAATTTTAGCAATTAAAAATAAAAATCTTTCAAATAAAAAAATAAATTTTTAAAACATGTTTTTTATAGTCTGAATAAAAGAGGAGTGCAGTAAAAATGGGGATATAAAGGATATATCGCACGAACTCGAGCTGGTCTTCCACTAGCTGATGATGTTCCAACTATGGCTAAGCCGGTCATGTATTAACCAGCTTCTTAAATGTCAAACCAAAAGGTAGGTTGGTTGATGTGTATATTATAATAATTCATAATTGATTGGCAAGAAAGAAATTATGTTATGTAAAAATATTTAAAAAATTACATAGTGTGCGTATGCTTGAAAATAAGAGAAACTGAAACTCCCCGGGGAATATATTCACTCTATTTTCACTTTCCCAAAAAATTGGTATTCTTGAAATCACGTGGAAGGAGGAGAAACTAGATGGTGATCGTTTTAGATCATCCAACAAATAGAGGACTTCTATACAAGGGAAGTGCTACCAACTTGACAAAATAAAATGGACACAAATGACATAAGAAATCGGGCTACATCACATACTTTGATTTTCTTTTACTATACGGAGAATGGTCGCACTGCGCAGCTTTCTGAGTGCCTTTTAAAAGGAGATAGAAAACTCCGCCATTTTGAACCCATATTACGTGTTGCCTACATCTTGGCGCAATATTTTTAATAGGTGCGTTTTAATCATCCGCTTCTGCTTCGGAATTGTCGGTTTTCTTGTTTTATTCTGGCAGGTTAAAACGACTAAACCGACAATTCCGGAAGCAGAAGCGGATGATTAAAACGCACCTGATATTTTGCTTGCTGCTGTCAGTGTCAGTGAATATTATTTTTGAAGTCACAGTTTATTGCTAAAGAATCAGTTAGCTCACTCGGACCAGTTGAAAGTTCCAAAATAACATCCACTCCAGGGATACAAATTCAGGATACGCCAGTGGGATACGCAGAAGACTGCTGTTTTATTATAGGCGGTTGTCATATATTGTATTATCCGAGTTGCACAGTGTATAAACTGAAACATTGAGATCCAAAGTGCCGACGCAGAGTGAGCGATCTGATTCTTTAGCTGTAAACTGTGTCACAGGGTTCAAAATGGCCGCGCCCTATGTCGGGCGTATCGGACCTCTCTCTTGCCTCGTATAGTAATCAAAGTATGTGGGCCACATAAAGAGGCAGTTTGTATTTTACTTTTAAAGGTTGAAGACATTTGTCAATATCAGCTGT